CCTTGTTATGGTTTTACCAAAGTCTAAAAAAAGACAACTAATATATATAAATAAAAGTAAAAAATAATTTCTAAAAAAAAACAGATCACACCAAGTCTTATAGACAGTAGAAACAGAAATACTTCAAAATCATTCTACTTAGTCTGGATACCCCTGATAGTAAAATTAGGAAAAATATATTATTATAAAAGGGAAATTACAGACATATTTCACTGATGAATAAGGATGCAATATGATAAATAACATATTGACATGTTGGATTAAAAATTGATATTTAAGTAATATACATTAATCAAAATTAAATCCAGTTTGTATGAGAATTAAACATTATTATATATATACATATATATATATAGTGTGTGTGTGTGCATTTTCCTGTGCACGCACAGCTTTTCTCAAATGGCTAAAGTGTCCTACAACCCAAGAAAGGGTTAAGTAGTAGTCCAAAAATTATACTCCACAATAAAAATCCACGTGTCAAACAGATTAAATGATTCTTCAGCTATGCATTTACTAGGTTGTCTTAGTAACTTAAGAACATGTCATGCTAAATCACACACCTCTGCCTAATAATCTCTCTGACCAGACTCAGGAGCAGTCTATAAGAAAACTTTACAGCTTTGAAATTACAGAATTATGGTTACCTATTAACCATAATTACTGAAACTCTCCTGAACTTACCTGCACATTAACTAATAAAATGTTGGTGCAATAAGCTGCGTGCTGTTATCAATTTTAAATGTCCTAAAAGCATCTCTTAAAATTCCCAAAGAGACTAATTCTCACATTCTAGGATTTGATAAAGTTCACATTTAACTCTATAAAGTAGCAATTCTGATCCTGTGAAAACAACACTTATATGCCAGGTACTCTGTTCAGCATTTAGTATGATCTTTAATCATCATAACAACCCTATCAGATAAGTACTATTATTAACTCCTTTATTAAACTGAGGTAAATTTCACATAACATAAAATTCAGTTTCAATGTATATAATTCACAGGCATGTGGTACACTCCACAATGGTGTACAACCACCTATATCTAGTTCCAAAACATTTTCGTTGTCCCTTGGACTCAGTAAACAATAACTCCCACTTTGTCCCTCCTGCCACCACTTGCAACTACTCATCTACTTCCTATTTCCATGGTTTTGTCTATTTAAGGACATTTCATTTGTATCTTCTTGGTTTCACTTACTGTATTCAGGTTCATCTATGTTGTTTTATGTATCAGTACTTCATTCATTTTTATGGACAAAAGATATTCCATTTTATAGACATATAACACTGCTCATTTATTCCTGCTTGGAGTTTGAGCTTTCAGAACTTCTGAGTCTTCTTTTTTTTTTTTAAAGAAAACTCGTGTCTACAAATCTGTAGCCTTTATATGTACCAATCATAGTCAAGCTGAAAAAAGTCAAGGACTCTATTCCTTACAGTAGTGCCAAAGAAGATGAAATATTTGGGAGTTTACCTAACAGGACGTGAAAGAGCTCTATAAAGAGAACTATGAAACTCTAAGAAAAGAAATAGCTGAAGATGTTAACAATTGGAAAAACCTGTCATGCTCATGGATGGGAAGAATCAACATTGTTAAAATGTCCATACTGCCCAAAGCAATATA